TGAATAAGATAAGCACTAAGGAGAGGGATGTGCAGGAGTGGGCTAAGAACCGGATTTTATGTATAGGAATTAGGAAGTAGAAGATGGAGCAGAGAAGGGCTCAAGAAAAGAACAAGATCAAAGGGACAGCTGAGAAATCTAACTGAATCTTCCCCTAACCAAGCAGATTCAGATACAATTGCATTTATTGAATGTTCCTGTCTCCAGTGCTGTGCTAGGGTGATCCTAGCTAGGAATAAATCAGGTGTGGAAGTGGAAGTTCAGAGAGGTGACGTGACTTGTCTGAGATCACATTCATTGTAAATACTAGAATTATCTTTGCTAGAAACATCCCATTTATGCCCCTAAGACAGGGCTCCAAAACACTAAGTATTGGCTCCAATTCAAGGCAGAGTTTGAGTTTGGAGGAAGTGGAGGGGAGGCCCTGGCTGCTTAGGCGGTGTAGGTGGCTTCCTGCCCAGGAGACACACCCGGCTTCAAAATCACCATTCTAGGCGGTTAGGTTGTTGCTAGGCACTAAGGGGGCCCTTGAACTTTCAAGTAGAGCCAGTGCAGGGCTGCTAACCTCACCTCATTGCAAGGTCAGGTACAGAATGGGGAAGGAAGCCAGTCACCCGGGTTAAGCCTAAGTGAAGAGGGCCCCCCTTTTTTTTTCTTTTCTGGTTTAATTTTACTGCCATCACCAGCCCTTACACGTAAATAAATAATCTCACTCCCTGTCCTCTTCCTAATATAACACTTAGTGGTCTCCTGTGAACTCTAGTTATTTGTGTTTACTAGAAGGAAACAACTTAAATCAGGGAGCAACCATGTGTCTCCTACAAATACCAAACTGTTCCTTGAGAATCAGCCACATGCAAGACTTTTGTTGGAGGCCAAGAATATAGAGATGTCATCTTCAAGGAGCTCACAATTTGCCTGGGAACACAAACTACAAGCTGTACTACAGTGTGATGCTTAGAACAGGGCATAGCACGTTGGGTACACAATGTACATATTTGTTGAGTGAACAGGGACTGATGTGTTAGAACAGCTCACAGGAGGGCTTCAGATGCCAAATCAAGGCAGACATCAAAAAAAGCTTCAGGAAGGTGACCATGCCTATCTGTGTAATAGAGCGAATAGGAGCCCTGACATTGTCCTGTGCACCAAAGGTGGCCAGTTAGATTCCACTTCAAGGTACTAGGATGCAGGTTACAGGCTCTACCCCCATCGGGGGTTGCAGATCGTTCTCTCTCTCACATTGCTGTTTCTCTCCCTCTCAAATCAATAAAAACTTATCTTTTTTTTAGAAGCCCTGGCCAGTGTTCTCAGTGGTTAGAGCATTGGCCTTCTCACTGAAAGGTCTCAGGTTTGTTAGATTCCCAAAGGTATGTAGTTTGCAGGTTTGATCCCAGGCCCTGGTGGGGACACTTTCAGGAGTCCACCAATTGATGGTTCTCTCTCTCCTTCCCCCTCCCTCCCTCCCTTCCATTATTTCTTTAAAAAAAAAAAAAGCAATGGAGAAAATATCTTTGGGTGAGGATTTAAAAAAAAAAGAATAGGAGTAGGCTGGCAGATTGGGGGAGGGGCATTCCAGTTCAAGGAAAAATGTCCAATACATGCATGGCAGTGGGTGGAAAATGTTTAGCAAAATAGTTGTCATTGTTAAGTGCACTATACTGAGTGGTCTGTGGAAACTGACCACACATGATGCTCCTGGGAAGGCCAGTTACACTTGCGTTCTCCAGCTGCCACCACCATGGCCCCCTCAAAGCCCCCACACCTCCTGGAGTTGGCCATCTCTCCAGCAGCCAGGGCTGTCACCCACTCACTCAGACATTTTTCCATGGCACCATTGCTAGCCAGTTGCTAGCAATCTCATATTACTTTGTGGCCCCAACACTGATTTTTCACCAGTAGTCATCTGGCAGGAGCATTTTTAAATAATTAATTAATCTTTTGTGGAATTTGGAGTCACAAAGGGAAAATTAGACACGAGACATTTTAGAAATACTTCCCTCTGGTTCCTCCACACTGTCCTCTTCCTTCCCCGTCACTCACAGAACTAAAATTGTCAGGGTGCTTTAGAATTGGTTTACTGTTAGATATCCAGGCAATGTGACCTTGTGGCAGGGTATGGGGCTAAAGCCAGATGAAATGGAGATGAACTCTAGCTTCTCCTCTTACTGGGTTTGTTTGGGGCAAGAAATCTCATCTGTACTTCACTTCCATGGGAAAGAACTGGTACTACAGAGGTTGCTGGGAAATTGTGAATTGTACCAATTCTGGTTTTATAATAAGGGGATTGGGTCTTGGCTCAGTCACTTACCTCTCTAAACCTCACACTTTGGAGGTTGACTCCTACCTAAATACACTACTTTGCATTTTTTACTAGGAAGTGTGAAACTAGGTATGAGCCATACAAAAAAACTATTCTGGCCCAGCTGGTGCTGCTCAGTGATTGAGCGTCAACCTATGAACCAGGTCACGGTTCAATTCCTAATCAGGGTACATGCCCAGGTTGTGGGCTCCATCCCCAGTGCAGTGCGTGCAGAGGCAGCAAATCAATGATTTTCTCTCAATGATGTTTCTTTCTCTCCCTTTCTGAAATCACTCAATAAATATATATGTATATTAATAAATACATTTTGCACATAGGAGATTCTCAAGAGACACTCATTAACATTTCCAAACATGATGGAAAAAAGCCCAAGACTAGGGAGACAGAAATCCAAGGGTCAGGTTCTAGTTCCACCACTTATCAGCCATGTTGCTTATGAAGCATGTCTGTGATGAACTCTATTAAATCAGTGGTTCTCAACCAGGAGCAAATGTGCCCTAACAGGATATTTGGCAATACCTGCAGACATTTTTGGTTGTCACATATAGGGGGGCTGCTACTAACATCTAATTGTTAGAGGCTAGGGATGCTGCTAAAGATCCTACAATGCATAGGACAATCCCCCACAAATAAATATCTGGACCCAAAGTGCCATGGTTGAAAAAAATCTGCTAGGTTCACTCAATTCAGTAAACCTCAGCTGTCTTGCCATAAAACCCCTTTACCTGCATGCAAAACTTGAGATCATTGAAACAGCTAAGAAACTGGTGCAGGCTAGGAAATTCCTTAACACCAGGAATTCCTGATTCCTGCAGACCAAAGGAAATACCTTCATAATGTTTTGAACAAACTGAAGTATTAGAGATACTAGGACCCTATCAGCATTACTAACTCCTTTGCCAAGTTAAATTTATTCCTAGAATTAAGAATAGAAAAGCTTAACCTAGTTAATAAGAGGCAGAGTTCATTTGTCTTTATGTTCACCATATTTTATATTTGTATTCTAGCATCTAGAACAGTCCCAAAGGCCCAAGTACTAAACAAACACCAGAAGCATGGAGTTAATCATCCCTAACGCAAAAGATCAGTTGTGAATTGGCACCAAGTTTGTTACCAGAGCAGATCTATAAATCCAAGAGCCAGGCCACAGAGGTAGAAAGGCTCCTCAGACTGGATCATGCTGGGGAAGCAGTTGCTGTTTACTGTCACAACCACAGCTACTGCTCCGTCTCAGCTGTCTGAACCAAAGTACAGGTCTCCATACAAAGAAAGCCAGGATGACCTGTTTCAGGAAGACCAGAACAGAATTGTCAGGCATCTTTAGAATGAGTTCTGCAGGAAGACAAGCTGTAGAACAAAGATAATGGAAATGGAGAAAGAGCAATTCAACAGCTCTGCCTGTTATTTACCTCTTATGACCCCATTTTGTCCAATTTAAATTCTGACTTTGAAAACAAAGGGCAGGCCTGTTCCTATTTCCCAGCTCAGCAAATGTGTTATAGTTCTTATCTCTAGCTCTATTCCTGACAAATCCTTTTTCTCAAATGCTGACTACTAAGAGCTACACTGATAAATTACCACAGAACATTTTTAAGAACCAAACAAACTTTAGTATTTCAAGAACATCCCAAATGAGTTACTGGTGAGGTTACAGAAGTTCCCACTCATGCCACAACAGCAAGAATCAAGAATTCTGCAAGTTAAAGTAACTACCTCTTTGGATACATAAAAACAATATATTAAAGGATATCACAAAGTGCAAAAAGACATTCAGCAGAGCAAAACAAACAGCAGGCCGACTGTCCTAACAAGAGGGCAAACTCCTTCTGGAGTTCAGTCCCAGGAAACAGCTGCCTCGGGCAAAAACAGGTCCAGACATGGGTTTTGATCGATTCGTTACAACTAGTCAAAAGCAAACTCAAAGGAAATTGAGGTTTAGATTTCCCATGACTGTAGTAAGAACTTACAACAAAGAGAACCTTTAACCAAACATCTCATATGTAGGTTGAGCAAGAAATAAGCAGCGAGACTCAGCCAGGGTATCTGACAATGGACGGACACTTCTGCTGCTGAGCTCTGAGCATCTCATGCAGGATCATCTGGAATTGCTCCTCCACCAGCATTTCTATCATCTGCTCCTTTGTGTGAATATCGGGTCTCAGCCACTGCATAGCAAGCGCTAGCAGATGCCTGAAGACTTCCCTGGGCCTAGATGGACCCTCACAGCGGAACTTTCTGAACATCTGCCTGAAGACGAGAGGATTGACAGGATTCCTTCCTGGCCCGGTCTGAACATTTTTGACACAGTTTTCAAGGCTCTTTGGCGAATGCCCAGAAGGCTCTTGTGGAACCTGGGCCTGGGGAGCCGCTGTTAGGACAACTTCTGGCTCCTTGGCCACCATCTCATTTGGAGGTGACATTATTTGATCATTCTGGACTTCTCTATCTTTTTGTGCCTTTGGGTCTCCTTCAGTCGCCATTCTGGAACTCTGGAAAAGGAAGACGCAGGCCCCTAGGTACAAAGGGAAAAGTCAGAGTCAGCAAAAACAGACCACCAAGGCTATTAAAGCCACCCCGATCTCCTGGATCTGGTCAAGACCCAGGTTCCATTAGTTTTCCGATTTTAACAGATTTTCTTTCTTTTCAGAGATGCAGTTTTTAAATTTTACTTTTCAACACAGTTGACATTCAATATTACTTTATATTGGTTTCAGGTGCACAGCATAGTAAAGATAATTATATAATTTACAAAATGACCCCAATAAATCAAGTACCTACCTAGTACCATACATGGCTGTTACAGTATTACTGATTATATTCCCTACTAGAGGCCCAGTGCATGAATTTGTGCGGGGGGGAGTACTGCAGGAGGTTGGCTAGCTGTGGGAGCACTGACCACAGGGACACACACACAACTCCTACATTGAGTGTCTGCCCCCTGGTGGTGAGTATTCATAGCTACCAGCTGGTTGTCCGGTCATAACAGTCGCTTAGGCTTTTATATATATAGATATATAGATGTTGAACTTTACATCACCATGACTATTTTCTAACTACCAATTTGTATTTTTTAAACCCTTCACTTTTTGCATGCATCCTCCTAACCAACCCCCTCTGGCAACCATCAGTTTGTTCTTTGTATCTATGAGTCTGTTTCCATTTAATAGGTTTTCTTTTTAAAAATTGTTTTTATGGCTTTTTAGAGAGAGAAACATTGATTGGCTGTCTTCTGCATGCCCCCTTACTGGGGGGTCAAGCTGGCAAACAGGACATGTGCCCTGACCACGCATTAAACTAGCAATCTCTTGGGACAATGCTCAACCAACTGAACTACACCTGCCAGGCTCAATAGGTTTTCTTAATAAAGCTATTAGAAATTCTACTTTTATTTCTTCTTGTTGGATCAATTAACACAATTGAGAAAATGTGTGGCTTACCAAAAGGAAAAATTTAGATTTGGGACTATATTCCTTATGTTGAACTTTACATCTCCATGACTATTTTGTAACTACCAATTTGTATGGGAAATCGAACTTCTCAGAATCTCTTTAGATGCCTAATAGCTTCAGCTTTAGCAAACCAACGTCGTGGGAAGAATGGAGTGGGCCAATAAAATACCTGTAAAATGCCAGAAAAGAAGGGCTTTGCTTCACTTGGGTTAGGGCCCCAGTCCAAAAGAGGGGTTATTTACAGGAAAACCACACCTTATGTTCATTTATTTTTATTGATTTTAGAAAGAGATGGAAACATTGAGAAGCAAAACACCGATCAGTTGCCTCCTGCACACCACCTACTGGGGAATAAACCCACAACTGTGCCCTGCCGAGGAATCAAACCCAAGCTCACCAACTAAGCCACAATGGCTGGGCTGCTAATTTATTTTATAGGAGGGGGAAGAAACTCAAATGACAGTAATGACTAAATTAATTTTCACATAAGGTTATGTCCAATCAAAGAATATAACTCCTATCATGTAGTCAGCTTTCAGAGATCATGTTTTTTCATTAACTCCCCTCAAGAACTAATTCCTCCCTAATCCGCACAGAAGTGTTGACATTTAAAATCAGATCCATTGGCCCTGGACGGGGTAGCTCAATTGATTGGAGTGTTGGAGTGTTGTCCCAATGTGCCAGGGTTTCAGATTTGACTCCTGGTCAGAGCACTGCAAGAGGCAATCAATGAATGCATAAATAGTGGAACAGGTTGATGTTTCTCTTTCTCTTTAAAAAATCAATCCATAAAAAATTTTTTAAATCCCAGTGTTTAAAAAATATTGCTGTAACTCAGGGGGGCTTTGGATGAAAAGGAAATACTTGAGTCAAGGAGAGGGTGGATGAAATATTGTGGGAAAGCAGAATTTGGAAACTAAAGTGACCATCAACTGGAAAAATAATTACATAAAGTACTGCTAGCCATTCAGTGAGATACTGTGCAGCTTTGTAAAGGATGAAGCAAGCTTGGCCCTGGCTGGGTAGCTTGGTTGCTTAGAGCATCATCCAGATACACCAAGGTCATGGGTTCAACCTCCAGTCAGGGCACATACAAGCAACCAATGAATGAATAATAAACTGAACAGCCCTAACCAGTTTGACTCGGTGGATAGAGTGTCGGTCTGCAGACTGAAGGGTCCCAGGTTCGATTCCGGTCAAGGGCATGTACCTTGGTTGCACACATCCCCAGTAGGGGGTGTGCGGGAGGCAGCTGATAGATGTTTCTAACTCTCTTATCCCTCTCCCCTCCTCTGCAAAATCAATAAAAGATATAAAAAAATAAAACTCAAGCTCCTTCATCTTTAAAAAAATTATAAAAATAAATGGAACAAATTGATATCTTCATTTCTCTCTCTCAAATCAATTTGGAAAAAATGAAGTAGGCCTCGTGTTGAAATGCGAAGATGTCCGTTAAGTCACCACATCACCAAGGTGATCAATATGCACAGTATAATCCCATCTGAGAAAACCTTAGATCTTTCTGTATTTCTTAACCTTTTAACCCTGACCCAAGCATATGCTGATTGATCTTAGAAAGCGGGGGAGGGCGATACACACACGATATGAGATAAACTGGCTGCCTCCCTGTGGGCCTGACTTGGGATCCAACCTGCAGCCTTTCCATGTGCAGCATGACCACGCTCCAACGTATTGCTTTTTAACCACAATTATGTGTCACTTCCGTAATTCCAGGGAGAAAATCTGAGTGAAAAACCCCTAACCCACTTAGGGGAACACCCTTTTCATAATTCTAATTTCCAACATCCAGGCCTTCACAACCCCGGCTTCTGGAAAGTATCATTGGAGAGTAGGTCAGTTCTCACGGTTGGCTCTGAAAGAGGAATCCAGCTTATAAAGCCTACCCGTTTTATTTATTTTTCTAATGTGGGTTGTTGGGTGTGTGTTTTTTCATCTTAAAATGTGTTTTGTCTGCCTGCACGCCCCCTACTGGGAATCAAACCCAACTGAGCTACACTAGCCCGGGCAAAGCCTATCAGTTATATTTTATTTTACTTTCATCCTCGCCCGAGGACATTTTTTCCTTTACTTTTTAGAGAATGGAGAAGAGGGAGGCGGCAGAGGGAGAAGAGAGACATGGATGTGACACACATCAATTGCGTGCCTCCCGCACGCGCCCGACGCGGTGGCGGGCGGGCTCCGCTCTAACCACTGAGCAGGCAAATCCGCCCCGTTTAGATGACCGCCCGACGCTGCCTGCACCCACCTCCTACGGACTCGTTTACTCGACACTATTTCCTATCGGACTGTGTTGAGCACTTTACGAACCGCAGCCGCCATTGGTTGAATGTCAAGGGCCAGACACTCCGCGGCAGCTCTCCCTCGTCCAACCGTCCCGATAACCCAGTGGGACAGTTAATTTTTTCCATTCACAGACAGACAAACTGAGGCTCGGAGAGAGGGGGCACCTGGGGGGACCGCTGAGCCGAGGAAAAACCCCCGCGTCCAGGCCGACTCCTCCCACCAACATGGGCGCGGCTCCGGAGGCCTAGGCCGGGCCGGAAACGCGCTTCCGGCCGAGACCTCCTACTCCTCCGCTGAGGTGACGCCCAACGTCACGCCAGGCGGAGCGGCCGGCCGACCCCAAGGGCAGGGCCTCCGGCTCCCAACAGACCGCGCGGGGGAAGGAGTCGGGGGGTGGGGGTTCACCTGCACCTTTGCCGCTTCAGAGGCAGCTCACCACAGGAGCAGACACCTCCCAAGCGACTCCGAGAAAGGGAGCCCCCAGCCCCGGCGCAAAGCTTTGTACCCCATTGCCGGAACCGGAAGTCGCGCCTGCCGGAAATTGGAAGTGGAAAGGGGATAGGTTAGAGGGGCCGGGTCTCTCTAGGCCTGGGGAGGGGTCCTCCGCAACTTCATGGTTTTAACCCGTGATGGGCTCTGTTCTTTCTCTGTCCTCCGTCCTCCGTCCTCCGTCCTCCGTCCTCCGTACGGTGCGGAACGGTGGGTACCCTCTGTCCTCCGTCCTCCGTCCTCCGTCCCGCCCACGGTGCGGAACGGTGGGTACAGCCTAGGCTGCTTTTCCACTTCCCAGAAGTCCTTTGTCTTTCCGATCCGCAGTTTGCCCAACTGCGAAATGGGAAGAGGATGAAAGGGGGAATTGAGACGTTCTAGAAGTCCGCGCGCAGCTGAGTGGGAGCCCCGCCCCGAAGTGACAGCCTGGAGTCTGCACCACCCCGAGGGGAGAGGCCAAAGGGAAGGCTGCGTGCTGCTGTGCTGACCGGGTCCTGTGCGGCGCCCGGAGCGATCACTTCCCAGGAGGAAGCGGGCGCAGACTGTTCGGTAGCCCTGCGTCAGTCCAAACCCAGACACCTGCCGTGCGTCTGTAGCGGTTCGTCCGGGTGCGGCCGTGCGTCTGGGAGGATCAATCGTAGTCCTGTGTGCCTCTTCCCAAGCCTTTCCAGTTGCTGGTGGTTATGAACTGACATTTTAAAGTCATACTGAGCTGGTTTGAGTCTGAGTTTAGTTTGGGTTTGAGTCTAGAACGGTGAAGGAAAAGCTCAGTGTCTGATTGGTAACCTGTTCCCCATGAATCAAGGCATTATTGTTGCGCACTTCTGTCCAGCTCGTGTGGCTACATAATTCAAGCATTTTCACTGTGTTTGTTTTTTAAAAAAAAAAAACATATTCTTATTGATTTTAGAGAGAGAGGACGGGAGAGAGAAACAACAATGATGAGAGAGAATCATTGATCAGCTGCCTCTTGCACGCCCCCTACTGGGGATGAGCCTGCGACCCCGGCATGTACCCTTGATGAGAATCGAAACTGGCGGAGGCTCTACCCACTGAGCAAACAGGCTAGGGCTGAAATACCATCTTTATATCAGCAATTACCTTGTTGGAGACGAAGGCTCCCTGTATTGCAGTCTCCACGTGGCTCCTTTTAGCCTTAGTTATGGGACTTCTGTTCAGCTGGATTTCAGGCCGTTCTGAATGATGGTTGTTCTGTAGTTTAGTTGTAATTTTGATGTGGTTGTGGGAGGATGTGACTATATGGTTTTTAAAGGATTTGAATTGTTGAGACTTGGAGATTAAACAAGAGGATATTGAATTATTGATAAACTTTTAGGCAAGATTTCCTAACTTCTCTGCTGCCCATGTATGAGAAAGGTGTCATAGCAGGTCTCAGCCTCACTGTGAGGCTGGGTGGAGCAGGGCCCCTGAGGACCCACTGTCCAGCCCCAGGGTGGAATTTTACACATTTGACTGCCCTTTATCCTACAACTATTTTGGAAAATTGTTCAAGGGCCCTTCCCTGGCCCATTAGAAAGAAGTAGCTCTTCAGCTTTTGCAAGTCTGTGGTGCCTTGGAACACCTGGCAGCTACATTTATCCCCCAGCACTAGCTGACTCAACACAGATGATTAACATATGCCGGTCCGAGAATTTCTCCCATCCTCTCCCACACTCCCATGACACGGAGGTCTCTGCTGTGCCTGACCCAGTTTCTTCCTTGCCCTCGCTCAGGCCCTGCCAGACCCGAGCTTCTTGGGCTTTTATAGGAGTTGGCGTGGGGGTAAGGGCTGGAGGAGAGTTTGTGGGAGAGACTTAAGAAAAATGTGGGCAGTTGTAATGTATAGAGGCAGTGGATGGGAAAAAAATTTTTTTTGAAAAGTATTGTTAATACATTCACTTTTGAGAAATTTGGCAATTGGTAAAGTTGCAAATGAGCACACCCTCCCACTCAGCGATTCCATTTCCCAGAATATACCCTAGAGAAACTCACACATGTGCACCTGGAGATATGTCCAAGGACATTCACTGAGGCACTATTTGTAACCACAAAGAATTGGCCCTTCTGTGACTGTCCATCCGTAGGGGGAGAATGATAAATAACTAGTGTTGTGCAATGGGAGACTCTATAAACCAACAGCAATGAGCTAGAGGTATAGAAATCAGCCTGGATAGACCTCAGAAACATAATGTTGGGTAAAAGAAGCAAAATCATCCATATGACATGAAACCTTGCATGTATTCTTTCTTTATTTAAAAATTTTAATTAGTTTATAGTCAATATTTTTTTGTATTCGTTGCAGGGGTACAGCATAGTGGTTAAACAATCATGTAATTTACAGAGTGATTCCCCTGATATTTGTGGTACCCACCTGGCACCATACATAGTTGTTATTATAATATTACTGACTACATTCCCTATGCTGTGCTCCACGTCCCCCTGATTATTTGGTAACTACCAATTTGTACTGCCCAATTCCTTTGCCCTTTTCACCTAGTCCCCCAACACCCATCTCTTCTGGCAACTATCAGTCTGTTCTCTGTATCTGTGAGTCTATTTCCATGCATATATTTTTAAAGATATATTTTTATAGATTTCAGAGAGGTAGGGAGAGGGAGAGATAGAAACACCAATGATGAGAGAGAATCATTGATGGGCTGCCTCCTGCACATCCCACACTGGGCATCCAGCCTGCAACCCCGGGCATGTGGCCTGACCGGAAATCAAACCATGACCTCCTGGTTCGTAGGTTCACACTCAACCAATGAGCCGCGCCAGCCGGGCATCATGCATGTATTTTTAAAAACTCCAGCAATGCCAGGGCTCTCCCTCCCAGGAACACTCCTTTCCCTTTCCTTTCGCCCTCTCCCTCCGCCTCCTTGACCCAGGCCTATTACCGTTAGCTTCCTCACTCCCAAGCCCAAGGGCTCTTCCTTTACCTCTAGAACGTGTTTCCTAAGCCCATTTTTCTAGGAATTACTTTTTCTGCCTCTGATTTACCAAATAAATGTTATCTTACAAAATAAATAAATACTCCAACAATGCAATATATTGTTTATAGATATTTATATGCAATAAAAATATAACAGCATCAAGTAGAAAGATAAAGGCCAAACTCATTTTATCAGTCAGAATAGGTTGGAGCCGTGCTTCTGTAACAAACACGGGAAATCACAGTGACTTATGAAGAGTTTATTTGTTGCTTGTGCTACATGTCCAGCAGGGGTCAGCAGAGGCTCTGTCCTGGCTCCTCACTCTGGGACCCGGCTGACCTGTAGCCACCAGTTGCCAGAGCAAAGGGAACGAGAGCTTGGCAAATCGTCCTGTCTCTCAGATCATCCCCCAGAGTAAGCCACGTGGCCAAACCAAACTTCAGGGGGGCAGGCAAGAGCTATCCTACTATGTGCCCTAAAGGAAAAGCAGTAATAGGGTTAATGACCCCACACCCGTGATGATGATGACCTCTGGGAAGAGTACAAAGGAGTCTCCACCTTTACTGTAGTTATTCTTTTCAGAAAACATGAAGCAAAAACGTAAAATTTGACCATTCTGGAGGGAAGCTACTTGGATGTGTCCTACATTATTTGCTATGTTGTACCTTTTCAACTTTCAAAATTAGAAGTATGATTTTAAAAGGTGGGTAATGAAACAACATTAATATTAAAAATGATAATATGGGTGGCCCTAGCTGGTTTGGCTCAGTGGATAGACCACGTTGGCCTGTGGACTGAAGGGTCCCAGGTTCGATTCCCAGTCAGGGCACATGCCTGGGTTGCAGGCTCAATCCCCAGTGGGGAGCGTGCAGGAGACAGCCGATCAATGATTCTCTCTCATCATTGATGTTTCTCTCTCTCTCTCCCTCTCCCTTCCTCTCTAAAATTAATAAAAATGTATTTTAAAAGAAGATATATGTGTGTGTCCTCACTGGGACCATATTTCCTTTCATGGTATTTAGGAAAAGCATGAGTAAAGGAATCCGTTGTTTTTAATTTTGCTTTTGGCTGCGTGGCAGCAGTCTTGGACCTCAACAACCGCTCACGGGGCTCCGGCCTCATTGTCAGCATTCTGTGCACATCTGTACGTGCATCTGCTCCCTCCCAGCAAGGGCTCTCCCCAGCTGGTCCTACTCCCCTCTATATTCCCAGCCCTGAAATTTCCACAAAGAAGGTGCTAGGAAGTGTTCTGATGGATGATTCTGATAGGCTTATTTCTCTCTAAATAAGGAGCTATTTCAGGGCAGGAACCATGTCATCTTCCCTGCTGCGCCCTCGTCTGGAACGAGGAATGAATGCTGTTGAATGAATGAAGGACTGTAGTCCTCCTTCCCCAGCCTATCAGTGGAAGCAGAAAAAGCATGGTCCTTCCCACTCCAGCATGAGCCTCCCAGGGAGCTGGCAAAGTCAGTTTTCCCGCAGGTTCTACCATGTGTTCTGCATTGAAAAACCAATGATCATGTGTGGCTACAGAGGGTGACCAACTCTCCCGGTTTCAGCACTGAAAGCCCTGTGTCCTGGGATCCCCCTCACTCCCAGGCAAAGGGGTGCAGGTCACCCTGTAGCAACTTTCCTTCTTCTCTCTGGGTCTCATTTTCTTCTCATCTTCGTATGAGAAGGTTGCATATGGTCTTGTCTCTACATAGCAGATCTACCATTTTGGGAAAGGGCTGAAGGGGAAGAGGTGAGTTAAAGAAGGAAGCAAGCCTGGAGCTGGAATTTTCTGAGAGATCTTTAATATTTTTTTTTTTGCAAAGAGTGTGGATCCGTCCTGCCACCCAGGCCTTGGTTCTAGTTGCTTGCCATGGTCTGGAAAAACAAGGGGGCGGGGGAGACACAGAGTAGTCTGGTTAGGAGCACAGGTTCTGAAGCCAGATGGGACTGGGTTAAACTCCCAGCCATGTCATTCATTAGCTATGTGACCCTGGGAGGGTGACTTGACCTCTCTGAGCCTCAGTTTCTTCATCTGTATAATGGGGGTAATCATAGTAGTCACCTCATGGGGCTTTTTTCATTAAACTATTAACTAAGGTGCTTATTACAATGCCTGGTACATGCTTAAGCAGTTTCTACATGGTGGCTATTACTATTACAAACATTATTACTCCCCCTCACCATTCAACCCCAGGTGATATTTGCACTCTCACTGGGGCCTGAGCCTCTCGTATCACAGCTCATCATTACTGCTCATTTAATGATCTGTCCCCCCACACACAGGGCAATGCTTGGACAAAGAAAAGACCTGCACAGAGGAGGCACTTTCTAAACACTTGCTGAAATAAACATTTGCTGGGTTCAGTAGTTCAAAGCTCCACCCAGAAGCTATCAAAGTTCTTGGGGCCACACTGTAGCAGAAAACACCCCCCAGCCCTCTGGAATGTCACCAAGGACCCCTTTACTGGGATCCTTTGAGCCCCTCCTCAGGATCTGCTGCTCTGACCCCCCTTCTCCCCTCCCCTGGGCACCTCTCAGAGGAGCAGCACATGGAGCCCTCCTGGCTCCTCTGCCTGCTCACCTCCTGGATCCAGTCGTTAAAGGCTGAGACACGCGTGAACACAGTGGGCTTCTTGCGGGTGTTGCAGCCGAAGGCAGAAACGAAGCTGGTCACACCGTGGACCTGCCAGGAGCCATCGGCGGCGGGGCAGTTGAGGGGTCCTCCAGAGTCACCCTGGAATGGTCAGAGAGTGGGGGGTGGGTGGGGGGCTGAGCCATGTCTGAGCTGTAAGGAGTCGATTCTGACTTTGGGGTTTTGAGAAACCTGTATCACTGGCCTCCCTCCTTTCATCCCTCCCACAGCCACCCATCCACCTGGTCTGAACCTCAGTTTGCTCTTTGTGATGAGGAATAGTATCGGTCTTTGAGATTTTTGTGAGAATTAAATGAGTTGATAGATATATGATCTTAGCACAATGCCTAGTAGAAAGGAAGCAGTTAATGGTCGTTCCCATTATTAGTACCACAGTTAACTATTCATGTTATTGTTCATACTTCTTTTTTTTCATTTTATACTCACTTCTAATACAATAATAGTTTGGTTTAATTATAACTTCAGGACAACAGAGACGAGGATGACTTTAGAAGTCAATATGCCTTGCTGTGTTGATGGGGAAGCCTGAGGACCAGGGTCAAGGCAGTGTGTGACTAGGACTAGAATCCAAAGGTCATGACACCCGGGCTGGGAATGTGTGTCTGAACTACCTAACTTCCTCCCAGTCCTGCTGGCCTGGAGGCTGAAGGGGGCAAGCAGGCAAGATTCCTCCAGCACCTTCCAGGCAGATGTGGGACCCCAGGGCCCTGGCCGCCCAGCTGAGTGGCTGTAGCCCAGGGAGCTGACTCACGTTGCATCCGGAGCGGATGTCCCCGCCGGCGCACACCATGGTCTCCTTCAGGGCGCTGCCCCACCAGTCCCACTTGGAGCAGCGCTCATGGTCCACCACGGGCAGCAGGGCTTGCTGCAGCTTGTCAGGGAGTGGCCCACCAGCTGTGGGGGTAGAGAGCGCTGAGTGAGGGGTCATGGGGTGCAGGGCTTGGGCTGGGGCCTGGGAGTCAGGGCTGGGAACCTCAGTGTGGGGTGGAGGTTCTGATGGGGAAAATGGGGACCCTCTTCCCACCCGGCCATAGAGTCCTGTCCGCTTTGTCTACCTGCATCCCCGGCACCTGGCACTCACTAAAAATGTTCAATCGAGCATATTCACGTTTGGGAGGAGAGGGCAGAAGGCTGCTGCTGGAGGAGGAATTGGGGAAAAGTGCAAGGACTGGTCCAGGTGTTGACCTCAACCTCTGTTTCCAGGCCCTGCCTTTCTGCCCACTGTCCCAGTGGCTGAGTGGGGCG